CTAATCAATGGAGATTTTTTTAATTGTTTGAAATTAAGAAAATCAATACGAGAAGCTTTATTTTTATATGGTTAAATAGAAACTAATCAATGGAGATTTTTTTAATTGTTTGAAATTAAGAAAATCAATACGAGAAGCTTTATTTTTATATGGTTAAATAGAAACTAATCAATGGAGATTTTTTTAATTGTTTGAAATTAAGAAAATCAATACGAGAAGCTTTATTTTTATATGGTTAAATAGAAACTAATCAATGGAGATTTTTTTAATTGTTTGAAATTAAGAAAATCAATACGAGAAGCTTTATTTTTATATGGTTAAATAGAAACTAATCAATGGAGATTTTTTTAATTGTTTGAAATTAAGAAAATCAATACGAGAAGCTTTATTTTTATATGGTTAAATAGAAACTAATCAATGGAGATTTTTTTAATTGTTTGAAATTAAGAAAATCAATACGAGAAGCTTTATTTTTATATGGTTAAATAGAAACTAATCAATGGAGATTTTTTTAATTGTTTGAAATTAAGAAAATCAATACGAGAAGCTTTATTTTTATATGGTTAAATAGAAACTAATCAATGGAGATTTTTTTAATTGTTTGAAATTAAGAAAATCAATACGAGAAGCTTTATTTTTATATGGTTAAATAGAAACTAATCAATGGAGATTTTTTTAATTGTTTGAAATTAAGAAAATCAATACGAGAAGCTTTATTTTTATATGGTTAAATAGAAACTAATCAATGGAGATTTTTTTAATTGTTTGAAATTAAGAAAATCAATACGAGAAGCTTTATTTTTATATGGTTAAATAGAAACTAATCAATGGAGATTTTTTTAATTGTTTGAAATTAAGAAAATCAATACGAGAAGCTTTATTTTTATATGGTTAAATAGAAACTAATCAATGGAGATTTTTTTAATTGTTTGAAATTAAGAAAATCAATACGAGAAGCTTTATTTTTATATGGTTAAATAGAAACTAATCAATGGAGATTTTTTTAATTGTTTGAAATTAAGAAAATCAATACGAGAAGCTTTATTTTTATATGGTTAAATAGAAACTAATCAATGGAGATTTTTTTAATTGTTTGAAATTAAGAAAATCAATACGAGAAGCTTTATTTTTATATGGTTAAATAGAAACTAATCAATGGAGATTTTTTTAATTGTTTGAAATTAAGAAAATCAATACGAGAAGCTTTATTTTTATATGGTTAAATAGAAACTAATCAATGGAGATTTTTTTAATTGTTTGAAATTAAGAAAATCAATATGATAAGCTTTATTTTTATATGGTTAAATAGAAACTAATCAATGGAGATTTTTTTAATTGTTTGAAATTAAGAAAATCAGTATAAGAAATCACGGTTAAATCGGCGAATCAGTCTAACCAAAAATGGTTTAGCTTAATCGGTTAGGTCAAAAGGCCAACCAACTTATACAAAAATTAATTAATTAAAACTTTTAAATATTTTTTTAATTTTAAAAATTTAAACTGTTTTGAATTGAAACATGTATAACACTACAATATTAAATAGGAGCATAATGTTCACTTTATATAAGTAAAACAACTCACTCTTTTCCTCTTTTCTTATGTGGGATTATAACATAAAAGTTAACAATTATTTGGGCGGGAAGTTTATTTTTAATCAAGTAATCTTATTCATTTAATCTTTAATCAGATCAATTTTTAACTTATTTCGAATTAAACAAATCTAATCAATATATATTTTGATAAAACTGCTAAAATTGTAGTTAAACCAACGAATCGTTCAGAATAAAAAATGATTCAACTTAATCGGCTAAGTCAAAAGACCAACCAACTTACACAAAAATTAATTAATTAAAACTATTAAATTTTATTTTAAAATTTAAATTATATTAAATTAAAATATGCACAATACTACAATATTAAATGGGGGTATAAGATTTACTTTATATGAGTAAAATAATTCACTTTTTTCTTCTTCTCCCGATGTGAGATTATCAAATAAATCATAGACTAATTAGCTGGCTAATGGAGATTTTCTTAATTGTTTAAAATTAAAAAAATTTTAAAAAATTAGTATGAGATATTGAAACTCTCATAATACTCCTCACTGAAAACGGTTAGGTCAAATGACCAACCAACTGATACAAAAATTAATTAATTAAAACTTTTAAATATTATTTTAATTTTAAAATTTAAACTGGCTTGAATTGAAGTATAAACAACACTATAATATTAAGGTTCACTTTATATAAGTAAAACAATTCAGTTTTTTTTTTCCTTGAAGTGGGATTATAAAATAAAAGTTAACAATTATTTCAACAAAAAGTTTATTTGTAATCAAGCAATCTTAGTCGTTCAATATTTAATTAGATCAATATTTAATTTATTTCAAATCAAACAAATCTAATCAATATATTTCGATAAAATTGCTAAAATTGTTGTTAAACCAACGAATCAGTCAAATAAAAAATGATTCAGTTTAATCGGTTAAGTCAAAAGACCAACAAATTTATACAAAAATTAATTAATTAAAAATTTTAAATTTAAATTATATTAAATTGAAATATGCACAATACTACAATATTAAATAGGAGTATAAGATCAACTTTATATGAGTAAAACAATTCACATTTTTCCTTTTTCTTCCAACGTGAGATTATCAAACAAATCATAGACTAATCAGCTAGCTAATAAAGATTTTCTTAATTGTTTAAAATTAAAAAAATAAAGAAAATTAGTATGAGATATCTTACAATAATTCTTACTAAAAAATCTCTTTTCCTTATATAATATATATAATATAGATAGATAGATAGATAGATAGATACATCCTACCTCTTTTTGTTTTTCTTGGAAAGATTGAACAAAAAGAGGTTTTTCAATCTTTACAAAGATCTCTGCATGGGTTAGAAAAACTTGTATATCCATTTATACAAAACACTCGTAAAAAGTATTTTTTCAAACAAAAAAAGGTTTCTTCAATCCTACCTCAAATTTAAAATTTCTTCTAACACATTTTTGGAATTTAAAAACGTTTTGTACATAACTATAAGAATTCTAACATTAAACTCTAGTTTTATTCTCCATTATTTCTCACTGAACTTTCCAAAGTCTATACATCTTCCCAAAGTCTTCAACTTTTAAATTTATTCTTACCCAAACCTCATATTAGTTTATTATTTGAATCATTCGTCATCATTATGGAAGATTTGAAAGACGAAAACTCATATTTTGAGAAAGACATTATTCACAACAAAACTGACAATGAAAACGTGAGTTTTTATGATTAAAATCAATTTTTTTAGCACTATTTTATTCGGTAAATCAATGCTGAACTGAATGATATAGTTCGATTTACTACTTCTAAATTGTGAGTTTTCATACGAAAAATCAATATCTATTACATTGTAGCCTTCAAACCATTACCAAACAACCAAAAAATATTTCAAAAATTGTAAAAAAATAAAAATAAAAATAAAAAACTAAATGACCATAACTATTATCACACATGTTCCGTAATTTGTATTAATAAAGTAAGCATTACAAGATTGTATTCATATATTTTATTGAATTTGCATGAAATTTTACCTTTAAATAATGGCGATACCTTCAACAATGGAGATCTAAAAGATTTTTCCAACGAAATGAAGCTTCAACAGTGGAGGTCAATGGAGGTCTGATAGAATTTCTTCTACAAATGAGTAACTCTATGACTGAGTGGGTGTGTGTAGACTTCTGATTTTTTCATCATGAAAGGGTATACTTGAAATAATTGTATGTGCTTGTGTGTGGAGAGTTTATTACAATTTTTTAAGTGTGTGAACTGAGAGGGATGCGCACTAAAAGTAAATGGTGTGTGGAAATAAAATTTCTCTATTTATTTTTGTTCCTTACCAAGAAACAAAACTATCATAGTAAAAAAGTTCTCTTCCTTCATTTTTCATCATGTTTTATAATTTTTCACTAAATTTGTAAATTATGAACTTCTTTTTCTCATTAATTTTTAATAAATAATTCAAAAAAATTATCATTTCTTACCAATTCGCTTAAACCAAACAAATGAGCATCTCAAATTCTTGGTCAATTTCATTTTCAAACTTGTTTCACCCAATTATCCTTACTATCATTTGTTATAACAAATTTGATATAAAAAAAAAATAGCAAAAAAATAGGGCTTACATCTCTTAAAATAAGCTTTAACCTTTTCATCAAATTTAAATAAAGAAAAATTATGCCCAAAGTGACTAAATAGATTGATTTAGTAAACTTGAGTGATGTGGCTTGTTTAGCGGCAAAATCCCAAGTAATATGTGGAAGATAAATACTACTGTAAGTTCACTGACTTTCGGCCCAAATAGCATTACTCTTAAATCAACAAAGAATAATATTTCAACAAATTAAGATTCAACCAAATTCTTCATCAATCTTTAAAAGTTCAATGCTTCTTTATACATCTTAATTCAAAAAACTTCGAAGATTATTCACCAATGTAAATTTGTGCTCAGGTAAGCTCAAAGTAAACATGAAAATGTAGATGGAAATTACAGAGAAAAAAAAGTTAATAGGTATTTTGTTTGGATAGGGTAAAACACTAAAAGGTTATCTGTTATATTGGAAAGCTGTGTTTTCAGTCCACTGGTAACCACAATCTAAAAATTAGGCAACCGATAACATTTGGAAACAGATTGTACACACACACATGTCAAATTCATCCAAAATCAGGGTAATCAAGATTAGTCAAAAAGATGAAATATGTATATTAGACAAACTGAGAGTTAGTACAATGTGCAAATGCATAGAGAGCTCATATACATTTGTGCATTATACATGCCATTCTGGGAAAACAATCCAAATAAATGAAAACAAAAGTTTCCTAATGAACAGTTCAATTTCATGCTGCTGTCACTGTTCAAGTTATCCCTTCTTGCTGTGAGCGGCTCCTCAGTGTAGTAGAAGCACAGGTCGATCCCCTTCAGTCAAGCTTGTGCCAGCACGGGCACAAAGGAAGTGGATATTAAGCATATGAATAATCCAATACCTTCACTCAAATTTATTGGCCTAATGAATTATGAAATATTAACAAGAAATTAGTTGAGAAATCAATATCTGACTGCCCATATACATATAACCAACTTTGCAGTACCTATGGATGTCTGAGGGATAAGTTGTCATGGAACTTCAACTTGCGCATTCCTCGGCAACTTGAAAGGCCTCTTAGATATCACACTATGGATCAAAGCAGAGTAATGCGGCATGCCATCATCATCATCGTAAGCAGCCAAAACCCTGTTTTCACCAACTTGAAAGGCCTCTTGGATATCACACTATGAATCAAGGCATAGTAACGTGGCAAGCCATCATCATCATAAGCAGCCCAAACCTGGTTTTCACCAACTTGAAAGGCCTCTTGGATACCACACTATGAATCAAGGCATAAATAACGTGGCAAACCATCATCATCATCATCATAAGCAGCCCAAACCCGGTTTTCACCAACTTGAAAGGCCTCTTGGATACCACATTATAAATCAAGGCATAGTAACGTGGCAAACCACCACCACCATCCTAAGCTGCCCAAACCTGATTTTCACCAACTTGACAGGCCTCTTAGATATCAAGTTATGAATCAAGGCATAATAACATGGCCTGCCATCATCAATTATCATAAGCTGCCCAAACCTGGTTTTCACCAAATTAAAACTGCACACCAAATTAAAATTAAAAATGACTAACAAATAGACATAGACATCCTTTGCGTGTAGAAGTAAAATTAGTTAAAACAGTAGGATTGACTTCCATATCTGGAAATTTGTTGATCAGTCTGTGGAGGATGATTAACTTACACTACCGGGACATTTTTGCCTTTTTACTTTTGACTCTGGACTTTAACCTACTTTGCTGAAACATTTTGCATAGATTTTGCTTATTCACTGCTAGAAGAAAAAAAGAAAAAAAACTATTTTGAGGTTTATAAAAATAGAAACGATGAGCAACAAGAAAACAATCTGGTCTGTGAGGACTTGTGTTTCGTGATATTAAGGACCAACCATTCCTTGAGCAGGGGGGGAATCTACCTGTGAAGGATCAAGAATTAATCTTGGAAAGCCACTGTTTGGCTATATATGCGTCGTTCATTTCAACATTGCAAAAGTAACTTCTCAAATTTAGTTGTCTTTGCAGATTCGTCTTGACATTTGTGGTGTCATTTTAATCCTATTCTTGTCCAAATGAATTCAACTTATCTCCTCCACGGAAATAAGCTTATCTTTCCTATCTGCTTTTTCTTTTTCTTTTTTTAGTGCGTTTTTTTTCTCGTTCTGTTTTCTCTCTGGTTATGCGAACAGAAAATTGAATTTTACATTGGAGATCTTTCTATCTCATCAAGAACAACATATTACAAAACAGATCAAGTGGTAATTAGGCTAAATTTTGTTTAACAAAGTGACATTGATATAACTCTATTTCCAGAAATTATGTTGCCCCATTTGATGGGACTTGAGGCTTGGTTTGGTTTGGTTTGGTTTATGTTGACAAAGATACATACAGAATGATTCATTTAATTGGACTCCTGAAATGAATTCATTGGCACTTATTACAATCCCATTTACCAGCTTTGAATAAAGCATTCATGAATTTCACTGGTAATAATCCATTCAACAATTTAATATACTAGTGGAAGTTCCATGTTCTATGTTACATCTATGTTTATCTGAGCATGATAAGTTGTCATGGAACTTCAACTTTTGCATACCTCGGCAGCTCTGTTCATTCGATTAATGTATTCGAAGACTTCCTTCTTTGACCGACAGCGTCGGTCTCCTGGTCCCATATAATACTGCACAACAAATTAAACAATAGGAAGAATAGCTGCTAAGTATTACTAGCCATAAACAATCCAATACGGCATGAAAATTTAAAATTCCAAGAAAAAACTGATCAAAAGGCAGAATAAATGACAAAGAAACAGTAATAGATATCCTTCATGTATAGTAGTACCGCTCAAAAAGAAGTCCTACTACCTTGCAAGAGCATAAAGTTGTATCGACTTTCAATATGACGAAGGATATGGATTGGTGGGTATGGTTGAAGCCATGGAATATTGAGGAGTTGTAGCATAGATACGGATACGAGATACGAATACGATACGAACACGGCGATACGACAAAATCTCAAAAAATAGGATACCGGTACAGCTAGGATACGTTTGTGAAAAATATATTTTTTTAAATTATTAATAGTGAGTTACACATAAGCTAAAGAACGTTGAGAAACCACAATGTAATTTTAAAATACAAAATATTAACCTTTAAGAATTTTGTTTTAATTTAAGCTAATAGCTTGTTTACTTTTAAAATTTTTAATAGGTCTTGCAAATATTTCATTTCAATATCAAGTTTAATATATTTATATTACAATAATAGAACAATTCACAACTTGTCCCTATGCTTTTTCCTTTGACACTAGTGAAAAATATTATATTCAAGTTTACTTGCTTATTTATTTATTGATATTTAA